AGCACCCTGTATTTATCTACATTGAACCCCATCCTGTTACCATCCGCCCACTTCTGTAGTCTGTCTAAATCTAATTGCAGCCTCTCTCTCCCTTCGAGCGTGCCTACCTCTCCCCACATCTTGGTGTCATCAGCAAACTTGGACAACATGTTTTCCACCCCCTCGTCCAGGTCATATATCACCAGCTTATGCCAAGTCATTGTCAGCATTTCTGTTCTTACAGAATTCCCTGAAAGCAGCTAATAGAGGCCATCGGTTTCTATTACAACCCTGGTTTTTTCAGTTGCCCATAGCTTTCATTTCTCACCATCAAACAATGTTCTTTTGGGGGGTTGGGATTGTCAGTGTTTGGTTTCAAACCAAAACACGTCTGGGCCAATTTTTAGCTAGACTAGCCTAGATGTTCTCTCCTTTCAAGATGGCTGACGTGACCCAAGCGAATAGTAGTCACAAATGGACGTTGTGGAGGAGTAATCTACTACCCAGCAGAAGGAATCCGAATCTGGCAAAGAAGAATGACAAGAGGAAAATGGCTGTTTTAAAAATCATGAGATTTTTCAAGCTGGCAAGTGTGGTCATGAGCCGAATGAAGGGCACTGCCTATTTTTGATGTTATTTATGACACTGCACTATTTTGCTCAAGTAGTGTAGGACATGGGCTAGTCACAGTCATGGGTGCCTCTCCTAAAAGATGATCTCTTATGCAGTGTTCCATAATGGGCCCCACGCTTGACCTTTGTTTCCCTCAACCTATTAGCCAAACTGATATTTATGCTGCAAAGGTCTCTGCCAACCCCTCCTTGGTGAATGCTACTTGATATGTCATGCGTAGTGCCTTGAAGATCAGTTATTTGGGGCAGAGCCCCCAAGAGGAGTAGTTTCTACAGCTAAGGATCTGTCATGAACAGCTGCCCTACAGGACAGGAATTTCATTGCCCAGCCCCCTCCCTTGGCACCTCTCTTCCTGGGTAACATGCAGGGTGGTACCGGCAGCTGTAGGTCCCAGCCTTGGGCTTGTCAGATGAAGTATCCAGCATTCTGAGGGACTCAGACGTCTGGCGTTGTCCTGGGTTGATAGTCCAAAGTGATGTAAGGGCAACTTGATCTGAAAATGCCCCATAAAATTTGAAAGAGGAAACCATCTGGACTTGGAAGTTATTGTTCTGTGACAAAGAGAAATAGCTCCTCTAATCTCCTGCCTTGCATTTTGATCTAAATCTTTCTCCTCCTCTGAGAGTCACGGTCGATCCAAATTTTCTTGCAGGCAGCTGCTTTTTCCTGTCCCCACTTACCTCGACGAGCAAACAATAAATTTTTCTGTAGTCCCCTCTCTCCCACCCCCCTCCACCATCATCTAAACTCCTTCAATGCTCTCCTAATGACGAGATGGAAACGTGCTTCTAGGGGAGACTCGGGCTGGTTTCTGAGGTGTGCTTTGATTGTCACAAAGCTCCGTTTAACTACCACACGGAGCCTGGCTGCTCCCCCACTCATAAATCCCTGCTGCTTTTCCACAGAGCGTTTGGCACTGGCTACACAGATGCAGCCAAACATCTTACACTTGAATCCAGGTGGGGAAGAGCGATTTTTCTTGACCCGAGACTGATTTAGACCAAGAACAAGTAACGACAATGTCACTGATCACCTGCTAGGGCTTGGAGTCTCCCCAGGCCACTTTAAGGAGGCTGTATTATAGGACACAATCTGATGCTTTCCAGAGCACAGACCAGGGAGGAAGAGACTGCCCAGTAACACTATGGTAATAGATTAACACTTTATATCACAGGGAATACAAAACCTCTTGGTGTATTATCAAGAAGTACAGTATGAGGGGAGAGAGCCTGGAAATAGAAGACAGAGTGATTTTGTGGAGTTGCACAAGGGAAGATCTACTCTACTGCAGGAGATAAGAAACCACTCCTTCCATCTCCCCACAACACCCCTACTTGCTTGGTGAGCTCTTGCCCATGGGAGTTGTCCTACTGGAATCAATAGCACTACTCATGTGAGTAAGTACTTACCAGTGTAAAGCTCAGACTGTCCCACTGGTGCTTGCTGCCTTCTGCTTGTGGGCAAGGGATCAGATCATCTCGACCTAGAATTTCAGGGGACTGTAAGGAGCTTTAGCCATATGGCCATCACCAGCGTTAATGGGAGCCAGGTGTCTAATGCACCCATATGCTCACATACACAAAGGGACACATGCAATACAATGCCTCTGACAATTTAGAAAGAATAATTCAGCAACAAAGATGCTGGTTCTGCCAAAAACTAAGACCTAAAAATAAGCCACTGGCCTTCAAAATGCATACAGCCCTGACTCCATAGGAATTTATGATCCACTGGGCCTCAACGACAGAAGTAACACAGGTAACTTTACAATCCATGCTGCCCTTACAAGACAGCCAGCACATGGATCTCGAGGAACAGAATTAACGCAAAGGCTTCATGATGCATGGGGCCGCGAGTGTTAGCAATAACACTTGCGGTTCACAATACATGGCACTTGGACAGCAGGAGGTTAAGAGAGGAGAAAAAAAGGAAAAGAATTGCTGACTTTATGTGGATAATGCATATCAGAATGTCATGTTAGCCACTCAGCTCCAGGGTTAGACATTTTTAAAGCATTAAACTGCAGATAACCTTTAAATTGCCATCAAACTGGAGTAAATCCAGGAGTCTAAATCTGGAAATATTTCCATTTTTTCTGCAAACAAAGATAATAAAACTGTAACTGCAGACATGAGGACAGAGCTCAAAACCTTCTCTTTTCTGTTCCCAAGCCTCTTGGGGTGCAGATTTTATTCTTTGCTTTACAAACCCTCTTGCTAATTTTAGCCTTGGCTTCTACCTAGGCACTGATACCCATGGAGCTGTAGAGAGCATGTAAACCAGAGGGGTGATTTCTGTTGCACTTATTTTAAAGGAAGGAGATCTGTTCTCAAATGACTGTGACTTTTATCCAGGGCCCACAAGTAGTTGCTGAGGATCATTAAAGCTGGACCCCAAGCGCATTGGCAGTTTAGACCAAGATTTTCTAAGTGCCCCAAAGGCTTCCTGGTAAAGTGAATGTACATTAGGCACCCAAACTCATTAGATAGCATCTTCCCTATCCAATTCCAGGGGGGTACCAATTGCATACCATGTGTTAGCTGGTCAGTCTGTTCTTCTGCTGTCATTACAGTGGTGTAGCTTGCTTCTGCTTGGTGCTGGAGGGGTATGCAAATTGAGAGTAACTTGCCCAGGTGTGTTTGGCAGGAAACACAACTAGCAGGACTGTGTGCAATTAAGTGCCAAAGTCAGAGGGGAATCTTAGTGAATGGGAGTGCAAGGAGTGCAACATATTCTATCATCCACCCCAGAGGGCCTAAGCAGCACCATCTTGGGAACCCTCCAATTCACTTGCAGATCCAGCTCTGAACTGGGGCCCATGCAAGTGCTTCTTCTAATTTTTCCTTGAAGAAGTGCTACCAAAAGCTTCAGCTGGAGCATACACCCCCCTTGTCTAGCTAGTAATGAGCTAGTAATTACCATGAATGTTGCTCTACTCCAAATGAATGTTGCTCTGATTTCAGCAAAGGGAAGACTGGAGTGTTTCTTTTTCCTCCACCTTTTTAGGTTCTATCACAATTCACAGGCAAGCACACCCAGGACAGCTTTAATCTCAATACCCCAGGTACCAATAGCAACAAAATCATTGTAGCAGGGGCTCCCATAGCTTTCAGCCACCTGGGTCATTGCTGCAGTTTGCTCGGAGGCTCATGCCAGCTCCTTGCTTGTCTGCTGTCAGTCCTCGAGCTGGCTAGATTAAGCTTCTGTGGGTGTGCATCCCTGTGCTCTAGTCAGATATTTCAAATGTAGTGTAGGCTTATTCAAAGAGACTATACCACTACACATGGGTTTTGCAGTGTCTCTCTATATTGCTTATGCTCTGTTTGCCCTGAGAGGCCTGGCTTACAGAGCCTGCCTCATAGATGCCTGACAAGGTATACATGATGCCGCGGTACCTAGCCTGCTCCAGGTGGTAATTGGCCTGCAGACCTCCATTGAGTCACGGCCCAGAGACTGCTGGGGACAAAACAGTGCAGCTCTTTCCCATTTAATGATCTCCATTTTCTTTACAGTCACCTCCACAACAACCGAATCCAGAGCCTGGGGACCAATGGCTTTGAAGGCCTGCACAGCCTGGAAACTTTGTGAGTCATCCATTTTCTCTTCTGTACTAAATGCTTCCCTCCATGTGGATGTGGTGCTTGAGTGTATTCATACTTGGCAGTCTAGCAGCTGAGCCCACAATGAGGGCACTGTGTGCATTCATGCCAGGCCAAGTGGCTAGTCCAGTTCAACTGTGCCCTCTTTAAGCAGTGGGGAGGGGTGGTAGAGTGGCAATGCAGGCATTACTGGAAGGAGAGGGGGTGTTTCATTGCCAGTGTGATGGTGAGGGGTATGTATAATTTGGCTTTCTTCAAGGAAACACCTTGCTTTTTGTGGCATTGTATCAGCTTACATTACCCATTAACTATGCTCCAGCTTCCTATCTGGGGTCCAGTATGCAAGCACCCTCTCTCATAAACTAGAATGGGGTCCTAACCATGCCTGTAGACCAGCTGATCATTTCCCCTTGGGCTTCAAGGTGATGAAGACCTTTAAGAGCCTTGAGGCACATCTTCGCTATGTCCAGACCACAGTATGGAGGACTATAAGAAGCACAATACACCTCCTCTGCATGGCCCACCCCAAAGTGTGTCATGTATCATGGATTTCTTAGGGTGATATTGGACCAACTGCGTAGTTGGGATAGAGTAAGGTGAGCTTTCAAACACAGCACATTCGTAATGTTGCTGCTTTCAAAGCACGCCCGACAGCCGATGGTACCCACCCAGCACTGTCCTAAGGCAGCTGCATTACATTTTTCAGGGTATAGGGGACACAGAGTAGGCAGGCTGCACTTCAATGCAGTGCTGATTAGTATGGTCTGGAGGCAATATAGGCATAACCTTACTTCATCTTCCCTGCTCTTATCTCTTAGCCTATCCCTCTGCCCCTGCTTCCACACACAGAAGTCCCACATATGTCAGCCTAAACTACTCATCTACCCATTCCTTACACAATCTGTCTTCCTTTTTCTGAAAATCAGGCCTGGGTATATGGTAAAACTCCTAACCAAGGTGTTTTACAAGCATTTCAGGTCACCAAAGTAGTCCAGGGACTGTCAACTACTCCATGTTTGTATAGCACCTAACACCATGGGGGCCTGCTTTTAAGTTAGTCCCGAGGCATTCCTGCAATAAACACAATTATTATTATTAGCAGTAATGATGTTTGAAAAGTCCTCATTCTGCAGGATATTCTGCCCTGCAAACAGTATCTTGTGAGCCTGAACTCTAGGGATCCTCTGTTAGGCATGAATCCTGCCTCTAAGGACAACAGCTCTGCTGGCTCCTTACAAACAGATTGCACTCCAAGGGAGTTAAAAGCTGGGGTCTTGCCCTGCCCATTGTGTGTCCATGCCTCTGCACCATGACCTGCCTGGGGTTAACGTGCTATGCATGCATAGTCTAAAATACAAACAAACAAGCAAGTAAATCAAGCCCATGAAAGGGTCAAAACAAGTATCTTCTTGCCCTCGGTTGCATAGAAACCTTCCCCTCTGTGCAGCCCATGGCGTGAGAGTCCGAGACAAACCACCAACAAAGGAGAAAAAGAGGGTGGAGGATGAAGCTTCCCATCATAAAAGTGTCACTCAAAGAGTCAGGGCCTTTCTAAGCTGATCACGTTACTGAAACATGGAGCGTTGCTGAGCACAGATGCAGCAGGCAAGCTAGCAGTCCCTAGATGCACCCATCAGGTGCTAGAGGACAGGGCAGTCTTACATTTGGACTGCCAGAGCCTGAGGCCTCCCAGGAGGGGCTATTCCTGAGCCCAGGGGGAAGATGTGAATGCTGGAAGACAAGGGGCTTACTTGGTGTCTTGTAGATCTTTCTTTGATTGCCAGTATATCAGGCTGGATATCCCTGTATGTATTTTTTAACAAGTACAGGCCTTGAGACACTTCGTTATCGTGACATTAGGTATGGGGAAGGCAAAGATCTTTTGGGGTGATAGCTTTTATTACACCAGTTCTATGGGTGGAATAAAGTTAGACAAATCAAGTTAGAGAAAATTTTGAATACAAGGTATTTATCATCAGGACCGAGGAGGGAAGCAAGCACAACAGTTGACAGTTAAGAACAGAGGGTAGAGCTGGCAGGTTGGGGGTGCAGGAAAGAGAAATTCCCAAGGGTAGCAGAAAAATGATTAGCAGAACATCAGGGCAATGGGCTTCAACAAAGGCCCTGTTTTCCCTGATGTACAAGCACTGACAGTGAAGCTAAATGCAGAAGTTCTGGGGCTAGACCCTGTTTCAAGGTGGGAAAGCACTGAGCAGCTCAGCTTTGGTGACCCTGCCCGTGGATTTAGAAATCTTGTGTGCACAATTAAATTTAACCCTCCTGGGTCCAAGAGAGGCTGAGAACATTTTGCAAATCTCACATTAAAATTGAGATTAAATTTTAACATTTGTGTTTGACATCAGTTTTCCTCTATTGCATGGCCCAAATTCCACTATCCAGTATTTTATGGGTGACCCCAAGTAGGCAATAAACTGGCCAGGATGTCATTGGGAGCAAAAGCTGTTCTTCTGCATTTACAAGGGGCCTTTGGTACTGCTGCAGATATGGCACTTCAGACAAAGGGCATCATGGTTTTCCTTGTGACATTAGCAGAAAAAGAGACACTTTAGTCAGAGTTTTCAAAGGAACCAATCATCACAAGCACAACCCAGACTTCTGGTGAGGGTTGGGGGGAAAGTCATTTTTTAGGGATTAAGGGCATAAGTGCAGGAATCTGAGAGCTGTGGGTCACAATACTTCAAGTCTAAGAGCCAAGGGTCACAATACTATAAGTCCAAGAGCCAACACCGAGGTTCATAAGGTATCAAACCAGGGATTGCAATGGGTTTGTGGTCAAGGCAAATAACTGGTCAGGCTAAG